TCAAATTCCTCATCTACAAATCACAGTAATATCCTATAAGGTTACATGTGAATCTCTCTAAATGTAGAATATAAATCTCTTAACACAATAACTAAGAAAATGACATAAAGGCTATGTTAACCAGTTGGATGAACGTATTTCAAATTGTATATAGCAATAGCACCCTGTACCCCATGATAGCATTAATGTACACAGATATGATTTAATAAAAAAAAATAGCATGTATATGCATGTGTGTATGTATATATCATAGGTTTATTGTAAGAATTATATAAATTCATATAATTTGAAATGTGCCCAGCACTTAGGTATCTACCATCATCCTTATTATTCTATTACCATCATTATAATTATTATTACTGTTATAATGATACTACATTTAGAAGTATTTAGATTTCATTGTAGATTTATAAAATGACAATATTCTCATTTTTAGAACTATTAGGTAAAAAGTGGAATACAAATTTAAGATAAAATACTGTCTAAGTTGCTTAAAATATAAGTTTGGCAGAAAAAAATTGGCTTTTTTCTCTTCGTTTAAAACAAATGTTTCCCCAGAGTCACAGGATTCATAAATTATTTTGAAATGCACTTTTTAATTTGGAAGTGCTAATGTGCTAGCAGTATGTTTATTCTCCAATAAAAGAAACTTCAAAAATAAAAGCCTACTTGAAGGAAAAACAAGCAAATTTTGCCTTAAAGTTTATATCCACATTTAGAGTTATCCATATTATTGACACAAGAAAATCTACGTGCCTTTGGTTGCAAATTTAGACCTAATTTTGTTATGACATATATATCACCCATATACTTCCAACAGTGACATTTTAAAAGAATTCAGATATTAACGTAAATTCTCCTATCTCTGCCTACAATACTGACAAAATGAGATTAGTGCATAGATGTTAATGCAACACACACATACAGTATGGACCGACTTGACTAGTTGTTTGTTTGTAGGTCAAATGTCACAGAATTAAATTCAAATTCCAAATAAAGCATAATACTTATATTTAAAAAATTTCTTCCAGTATGCCTTATTTGATTATGCTTGCCATCTCTTTGGCATATTTTTTCCCCATGTATTAGAAACTTAAAGGAGGACCAATTAAAAACCTTGGGAAGTACCAGGAGAAAGGGGCAAACGCAGTGTGGGGGTGTAGCTAGCGAACTGTGATGCTTGCAGTAAGATCAGAGAATATTCGTAGAACAGGAAGAAGAGCTGCAGTATGGCAGGGTCAAGTAAGGTAAAATAACCAACCAATAAGACTCAGTCTAAAATTACCAGGCTTAGCACAGGTTAATTAAAGATGACAAGTTAAACTAACCTCATCGTATTAGGCCGTTAAAAGCTGTGCAGAGACCTATGAGATAGGTAACATCACTGCACTACTTAGGAGAACAAAAGGGAAAGTGGCAGCATCTCTCTTCGAGGAATTTCATCAAAGAGCATGAAAATGACATCACCACTCCTGAACAGCCAGGGTATATTCTGATTTCAGTCAGGGAAGAAGCTAGTGTACATCACTATATAAATGGTTTAGTGCCATCACTGTACTATGTAAAAGTTTCATTATTTTACAATATCTGCCTTATATCTCTTTTTACTTCTATTTAGGGAGTGACCAATTATATTTCCATTCCCATCTTTAGTGTAGGTGTGATCATCTTACTCTAGATTCTTTTTTTTTTTTTTTTTTGAGACAGAGCCTCAAGCTGTCCCCCTGGGTATAGTGCCGTCGCTTCACAGCTCACAGCAACCAACTCCCAACTCCTGGGCTCAAGCGAGTCTCCTGCCTCAGCCTCCCAGGTAGCTGGGACCACAGCGCCCATCACAATGCCTGGCTATTTTTTGGTTGCAGCTGTCATTGTTGTTTGGCAGGTCCAGGCTGGATTCGAACCCACCACCTTAGGTGTATGTGGCTGGCGCCTTAGCCACTTGAGCCACAGGTGCCGAGCCCTTATTCTAGATTCAATGAAATGTTGCTCCCATCCAAGAAGCACTGTGGTTGGATTAAAGAACATGAAAATCGGCAGGTTGCGGCAAGAATTTTTCATTCAGGGCAAAAAAGATACTAATAGTATTTAAACCACTGCCTTAAGAATTGAAAACCAATGTGGATCTTCTCCACTAACATCATACTTGTAGAGCTGGGCAGAAGCAGCCTAGAGGAAGTGATTTAGCAAAGGTGTAGAAAAGTCAAAGTCAAGGTAAGTCATGAGACTGCATGGAGACAACTTTAAATGTTTACTATCAGCAGTGTGCTACTCTGGGTGGGGGAAAAGGAAAGTGTTAGGGTCCTATCTTCTTATGTTTGTTTTTACAGATGAGAGGAACATTATAATTAGATTAAAATGCAAAGGCTGTTAGAATAGGAAGGAATCTTACTGTTAATCTACAAAGAGAAGAACCACTTGTCAGGCCTGACGGAACAGTCTTATTGCGCATCTTTTTAAAGAGTTATTGTCAATAGCTCCCCCTTCCATCTCCAAAATACCTCGATTTAAAAGGTTAATTATGTGAATATACTATTTATAATAAAATGCCCTCCTTTTGCCTTTTACCTCTGCATTTTACCAAGAACCCATTTAGTTAAGTAACTTCTATGAATTCAAATGATCAAAATGGAATTATGATCTCTTTGCGGGTAAGACTGTCTTTTCATCCATTTCTCCACGTCAGTCCTAGGTGTACAGGTTGAACGCATGACAAACTGCTAAATTCCCAGGCCATTGCCATTGCTTTGTTCACTTTCATGCTACCCTCTCTAAATACTGATAATTCAATAAAAAAGTGCTAGGGAACCTATGGATTTCATGAAAGAGCAATAAAATCACTTCACTACTTTTGAACTGCTTAAGTCACTGCAATTTACAGGTGAGGGAAGAAATGCTTTGAGTGACTGTGCAAATTATAGTCTACTATTATCTCCACCCCGCAGGAAAATTCACTCATCCTTCCCAACTGCTATCAGTCTATTTTTAGCTAGGTGAGCAAATAACTAGTTGTTTCTATCCCCATTTTAAGCATGAGTCTGACCATCTTGTTTCCAGGCTCAAGGTACTTTTACTTCTGTTCATAAATAAGCACTAGAGCAAAAAGTTTTCAGTTTAGAATTGAAGATGGTAGGCCAGGGGCGGTGGCTCATGCCTGTAATCCTATAGCACTCTGGGAGACTGAGAAGGGTGGATCATCTGAGCCCAGGAGTTCAAGATCAACCTGAACAAGAGTGAGACCCCATCTCTACTAAGAATAGAAAAACTAGCTGGGTGTTGTGGTGGGTGCCTGTAGTCCTACCTACCCAGGAGGCTGAGGCAAAAGGACTGCTGGGGCCCAAGAGTGTGAGCTATGATGCCACAGCACTCTACCCCAGGTGACAAAGTGAGACTCTGTCTCAAAACAAACAAACAAAATGAAAAAAAAAAAAAAAAAAGAGAGAGAGAACTGAGGATTATAATGAATAAGAAACCATTTTATCTGTCTTCCTTAGAAACTGAAATTGCCTTAGAAACAACAATTTTCTTATGATTTATCTTACCAATTCATACGTATTTTTATATAAAGTCGAGCAAGAATACAAAAAAGTCATTTTTAAATCACAAGCCTAGCTTCCATGAAACTAGAACTCTAATTATATAAATTTGTTAACAGTAACAAAAACCATTTCCAACTAAAAGTAAAGGTATAGTATATAAAAAGAAATTAAAAAACATGAGTACTAACATGGAAGTTTGCAGATTAAAGATAATTTCTTGAACTCTTTAATATAGAAGATACGTCATACCCATTAAATTGCTGACCTAGTTGCAAATGCCCATAAGATCTGCTGATCAATCAGAAAAAACAGTGTTGCACAGAAAAACGAATGCATTCACAAATGACAATCATTCTTCTTCCAAAGAATCTACTCGCTCAATATTATCAACCCACGCTCTGGTAATTTCTAACATAACCCCATCTTGTGCTTTTACCACAAAAGGGAAATATTTGTTTCTCTTTATAAGAAATTCCTAACACTTTAATAATTTATTTTTACTGGCATGTGTTCTGACAAGTTTTTATAATGACTTCAAAGAATAAATAAAGAAGGATGATACATATACTTAAGACAGAGATATGTGTCTATATATTAATGTATACTTTATTTTGCTGGGCAAATCACTTATTTATATTTAATAATTTTTTTCAATGGAAAGATAATGCCTCCTATATGAGACTAAAATTAAATAATAATTTACTTTAAAAGTAATTATCGTCCCTTATGAATTTATAATTGACAATAAAAATTGTCAATAAGGGACAATAAGACAAAGTTGACATCAGATGCATTATCAATAAGTTATGCATATTTAAAACAAGTTGCCAGTGAATTTGAGTTGACTTAATTACTCTCTTAATGAACTCTGTCAACTGTCTTTCTGGGCAACAGCATGTCTACAAGTCTTAACTAAAATTAGGTAACTTGTGATTGTACAGTAAAAGTAGGCAACTGGCCCACATGAAATGACCCCACTTGTTCTTATCATTTTTTTCATCTATGAAGCTAAAATAAGTAACCAAAATTAGGTGTCTATGATTATAAATTTAGAAAACTATCATAAAACTATATGGTGACATAAATCAGAACATTTTAACTAAATGTACGTTATCCCTTTATGTAGTTTTCATATTCATCTAATGATTTTATACCGGATTGCAAAATAATGAGACGGTAGTTCAACAAAAGAACAGAGACTCTTATTAAAGAAACAAATATTTCCCTTTATTTGATTTCATTACATCTGCTCACAAGACAGCCATAATAATTGAAATTCTCAATTTACAGCCTATGAATAGGGCTATTTAGCTGAAAACCAGCCAGCAAATAGCAACAGGTAGTTAGAAAGCTTACTCAGGGAAAAGTAATTTCCACAGCATGACAGTAGATTAAGAATTATCGGCCTTTAAGAATCAGAAGAGTAATGTTCAAGAATATTTATCAATAGTGAGTTTGCCTTACTCCTTTGCCAGCTGCACACTGGTAGGCTTTGCTCCAATAGGTATCCCATATTTGTGTAAAGTGTTAATCAAAATCTCTCTCATGTCATTGTTGTAGGAATCAAAATCAAACACATTCCGAACCACGCTGGCGAGACCTTCAGTGGGAAATTTCTGTATTTAAAAAAAAAAAATTCCTCATTATATACGTGATAAAATACACTATAAAGTTTTACAAAACTGATAGAATGATAATGATCAAATGCACCTTAGCAGAAATTTACTAGCCTTGTCAAGTAACTAGGCATTAGAAATATAGACATTTTTCTCATTAAATGTTTGCTCAGATGGCTTAATAATATTTTCCTTTTTAAAGAAATGCTAGAATGTGAGGACAGTTTCTCCTTTCCAATGTCATAGCAGTGCGTAGATCCTTGTGTTCAGTGATTGCCAGTGCTTTCTGAAATCTCCTGTCTTTAAAATGAATATGATTGACCAGAAAATTTACAGTCTATGAATAGATAGGAAAAAAGATTAAAAAAAAAAAAACCAGAAAAGAAAGGAAGAAGAACATTAAAAGGACGGGGAATAGAGAAGTAGGAGCCGGTAGAGGGGAAGAAAACAAGTATTCTACAGTGAACTTGACACTGGCAGGTCTGCTGCTTCTGCCTTGATCTGCTTTAGGTACCAGATCTGAGCAGGCGGAAGTGGACTTACAGTTTCACGGGCAGAATAAAGCTTTCTATTTTTTTTCTTTCCAAATATATATTTTCGAACTGACAAATAATAATGATACATTTGTGGGATCAAAGTGATATTTCAGTGTGTGTACATGTGACACGTGATGGAATGATTAAGACAAGCTAATTAAATCTTTTTTTGTGGTACAAATACTTACAATATACTCTCTTAGTGAAAGAGAGATATGATGTGAAATACACACTATATTATGATTAACAGTAGTCACTATGCCGTGTAACAGATCTCAATAACTTATTCCTCTTGTCTAACTAAAACTGTGTACCCCTTATCTAACATCTCCCTTAACCCCACCCCATTCAACTTTCTGAGATTTTCTGGGAGCACTGGGATAAGGCAGAGATCAAGAGTCATTAGGTTGTGACTGCTAACTTGAAGACTATTATTTATTATATGAGTAGAACTTACCTTTTTTTTTTTTAATTGAGACAGAGTCTCACTCTGTGACATCATAGCTCATAGCAACCTCAAACTCTTGGGCTCAAGTGATCCTCTTGCCTCAGCCTCCTGAGAAGCTGGGATGACAGGTAACTGCTACAACATCCGGCTGGTTTTTCTATTTTTAGTAGAAGTGGGGTCTTGCTCAGGCTAGTCTCAAACTCCTGAGCTGAGGCAGTCCATTCATGTTGGCCTTCCAGAGTGCTAGGGCTACAGGTCCAAGCCACCACGCCAGGCTGACATGGGTATTTTTTAAAACAAAGATGCACAACGACCGGGAACATGGGCTCATGCCTATAATCCTGACTCTCTGGGAGGCCAAGGAGGGTGGATTGCCTGAGCTCAGGAATTCCAGACCAGCCTGAGTAAGAGCAAGACCTCGTCTCTAAAACTAGTCAGGCATTGTGGTGGGCACCTATAGTCCCAGCTACTTGGGAGGCTGAGGCAAGAGGATTGCTTGAGTCCAAGTGTTTGAGGTTGCTGTAAGCTATGATGCCACAGCACTTTACCAAGGGTGACAAAATGAGACTCTGTCTTTAAAAAAAAAAAAAAGAGTGCACATGGTCACAAGAAATTTAATTCCTCTGCCTACATATTCTATCTTGTACAACTTCCTTGCAGTAATTACAGGTATATTAATCAAGTAATATTAATCAATGCTTTAGTTCCCCCTCTGTTTTCCATTTCCATGTCAATTGCTCTAAAATAAAAATATTTTCACCCACATACCACATGCTTATAAAAGCCAAACCATAGAATCTTTGGCTTTCTCTACTTATTCACTCTCTTGCCTTACCTTCCATCTGAAAATATCTGTCCACCAAATTTCCTAGCTCTTGGTAAGGACCAACCACAGAACCTTGCCAAAGTTAATTCAAAGCCAAGACAGATAACGTTCATTGGCCTTCCAGATTTATAACTTAGATTACAAACACTTCATAGCCTCTTATCTGACTCACTATAATATTTTTGGAAATTGACAGACCTGAAAAAAAGAGAATGATTGCTTCTTCTAAACCTCTACGCACAGGTGGGTGCATACCTGTAAATGCTTGACTATGTTGACAACCTCTCTGGTAGAATAAGGATAGTTAATAACCCCCTGGTCAGCCAAATTCCTCAGCTCTCCAAAGGCAGACACAAGCTTCTGAAGGATGGGCTCAGGCACATTTGGTCCATACTGTCTGAGCATCTTGAGCTCTGAGTGGGGTTTGGGGTTATCAACTGCATGGCAGCTAAAAATATCACCTAAAGGAGAAAAAAATACATTCAGCATACACCTAATCCATGATTAATGCCACAGGAAACATGGACTGGTTGTTTAAAGAGCCACCAGTTGCTCGTCAAAGCACAGGACAGACATCCGACATTAGGACGGTAAAGAGAAGAAAGCGAATGACTGGAGCAAAATAAAAGAAAACCGGGTAGAATATGGTTTGGTCTGTATGGGTTAATTTCTGTTGCAAATTTTATATAATAGTTGAATACATGCTTGCTGGGAGATATTCAATACAAAGAGAAAAAGGAGAAATCTTCATTATATCTCTGCCAATGTCACTCACCCCCCAAATGCATCCAGTCTTAATAGTTTACTTAGTGAATTTATTTTTTCCAGTTCTGTGTTAGTACTTCAAAAATGCAGACATACAAAACAGAGTTTAGATGACTTGTTCCTTTTCCATTAATGGAAATATACTCTTCATATAGTTGTGAGACTACCCTTCACAAAAGTTGAAAATTTTCAAAAATTATATACATCTGTCTTATATAAATGCTTATATACGTATACACAAAAGGAAGGAATTGATATTATCACTCTCTAAACAATTCATATCTTGTGCAGATTGCTACGATATACTTCAGAGGTTTTGGAAAAGTAAACCTGCAGAGACACTATCTAAATTAAAATCAAGAAAAAGAATACAGCAACATAATATTTCACCTATAATCTAGGCAACCAAGAGGGTACTAGAAAAACATAATCTATGCTCAAAAGAAGGATGAATTTCCCACATTAAAAGTGTAAGTCTACTGATACACATGATTCAACTGATGCATAATCTAAGACACCAAGATCAAAGTAAGTGAAAATAAAAAGACTTACATTACTTAATATGTTAATTTTAGAAAATGAATACATTCAGTCAGGTAGCAATAAGATCTTACTTTGATTCAGGAGCCATTTGAACAAACAATTGTTTGTGTGTGTATGCATGTGTGTATTTAAAAGTAATGGAATAAATGAAAGCTATAACTTAAAACTTCTATCTCCTAGACTAAAGCAAATGTTAAGAATAGCTTTTGGCTTTTTTACTTAAAATGAAATTTAACACTAATATTAAAAGATAATTGATCCCTCATTCATTCATCAAATAACTATAAAATGTCTTCTATGCACCAAGTATACCTACCTCAGTAGGTACATTATATATATCAGTGATTAAAAAAATCAAAATCCTTGTCCTTAGAGAGTTTACATTTTGGCATAGGGAGATAACAAATGATAAATATAAATATTAGATGGGGTACGTTCCAAAGAAAAAAGAACAGGGAAATCATGGTACAGGATAGTAGAAATGGTGACATGTACGTGAACATGGATACTTGGGAGAGGGGCTTTCAGGAAACAATACAACTAATGCAAAGACCCTGCACCACGGCAAGCATATCTGGCATGCAGAAGAAAGAGCAGGAGAGCAGAGTGGCTGGAATAAAATAAGTGATGCACAGAGTAGTGTGGGACACCAGGTTAGAGAAAGGCAGATGTAGGAGACAAAGGATACGGGACATTGTAAACTGTTGTAAATACTTGTGCTTACACTCAGAGTAAAATGGGAAGCACAGGAGGATTTTTAACAGAGGATTGGACTGCTATGTTGAGAGGAGACTGCAGAAGGTGTTAGAGGACTAATCCCTTGTGAGCAGAGGCAGTGACCACACTGACTATCTTCCCAAGGATGTTTGTAGAGCAGACAGATAGAGATTGTCTGTCTGTTGTCTTTCTTGTCTCTCTCTCATCTGTCTCTCATCTTTTTCTCTCTGGAATAAGACTAAGGCATGCTTACTGGGCATTATAAAAGATTTGGGACCTAAGCTCAGGGGTCCTTTCCTGTAAAGCATCTCACTGTAAGTACAGTATCATCTGGCCTTTTATGTGTGGCCCTGTGGGAACTGGGGCTTGAGGAACCAGCACAAATACGGACACTCTGACTCTTGCTTTTATGGGAAAAATAATCCCTCCTTTGTCTCTGACCCAGGACTCTAGTGTCTTCTACCATGAAACTTTGGTTACTACCTTCTTAGCTTAAAAGTAGGCTAAAATCGTAGATCCCTCACAGTTCATGACAAAGGATGAGGGCAGAAGCAGGATGACTCATTAGAGGACTATTAGGAGTAATCCAGGTGAGAGACAATGGTGGCTAAAATCAGAATGGTGATAGATGGAAGTGATCAGAAGTAGGATAATTTGAATGTAAATGAAGCCAGTAAGAATTCTCCCTTAAAGATCGAATGGAGCATACGGAAAGAAGTCAAGAATAAATTTTGGGAGGTGACTCAGAAGTTGTACTTGCAACCACCCCCTCCCTCTTCCCATAATCCCTCGCACTCTTTCTTTCCAACTTGGGCCCAGCAGAATGGCTCCTGCAAAGATGTGTGGTGAGAAGAAGGGCAGTCTGCCACCAAGGACTTGAGAATACACCATGAACATTTAGAAGCGCATCCATGAAGGGGGCTTTAAGAAGTGTGCCCCTTGGGTACTCAAAGAGATCCAGAAATTAGTCGTGAAAGAGATGGAGACTCCAGATCTGTGCTTTGATACCAGGCTCAACAAAGTTGTCTGGGCCAAAAGCATAGGGAATGTCCCATACCGTATCCGTGTGTAGTTGTCCAGAAAATGTAATGAAGGTGAAGATTCACCAAACAAGCTCTATACTTTGGTTACCTATGTACCTGTTACCACTTTAAGAATCTACAGATAGTCAACATGGATGAGAACTAACTGGTGATTGTCAGACACATCAAATAAAGTTATAAAACCACACATATGTTTAAAAAAGGATGACTTTTGGCCTGAGAAGAATGAAGTTTTCATCAATAAAGATAAAAAAGATAACATATTAATCAGGTTTAAAAGGAAAAGTGAATCCATTGCAGACATGTTAACTCTAAGATATAAGAGCTATTGAATATAGATTTATAAGTATGGCATTCAGGAAGGCGGTCTAAGCTGGAGATAAACATCTGGCAATAAAAGGCTATTATAAATGATATTTTAAAACATGAAACATTCTGATTTTACTAAGGGAATGAGTGTAGAGAAGTAAAAGTGGACCAAAGCCTGAGCCTTGGAGCATTTTAACCAGGACCCAACAGAGGAGACTAAGGAGTGGTCATTAAAGTAGGAAAGTACTTCAAGGAGGACAGCAAGTAAGTGCAAGAAAATACATCAAGGAGAAGAGCATGACCAACTGGACCAACGGTAATAAATACCACCGATAAAGTAAGATGAGAACTGTACGTTGACCACTAGATTTATAAATGGAAAAGTCATGGACAACCTAGACAAGATCTGTTTCCATGAGGTGATGGGAGCAAATATCTGATTAAAATGGATTCAACAACAGCCAGGCATTGTGGCGGGCGCCTGTAGTCCCAGCTACTCAGGAGGCTAAGGCAAGAGAATCACCTAAGCCCAAGAGCTGGAGGTTTCTGTGAGCTGTGACACCACGGCACTCTACCAAGGGCGACAAAGTGAGATTCTGTCTCTAAATAAATAAATAACTAAATAATGGATTCAATAGAGAGCGATGAAAACACAGAGACAGAAAGCATAGGCAACTCTTAAGTACAAAGAACTGATATGAAGATTTTTGCTACAAAGGAGAACAGAAAAATTTAGCAATACCTGGCAAAAAAAGGTAGAATTAAGAGGATTTTGTTTATTCATTTAAGATGAAGGAAAGAGTAGCCTAACTGCGTGCTAATGGGAATAAGCTATCAGAGAGGAGGTTACCACTGACACAGGAGAGAGACGGCAGAATTGCTACAGCAGCATCCTTGAGTAGGTGGGATCTGGCGCTCGTCTGGAGGGACTGGCTGCAGTTGGGAGTGTGGACAGTTTGCCTATAACATGTGTGAAAGCAGACTAATGTAGGCAGAAGATTCGGTGGTAGGAGTCTGTGGACACTCATTTCTAATTGCTTCCATTTTTTTTCAGTGCAGTAGGAAGCCAAGAAAAGATAACAGAAGTCTGTAAGAAGAGTCAGTAACTGGAATCCAGTTAGTAATGAGGAGAGAATGCTACAAGTATAGAACTTTCATGCTTGTTCTAACCACATTCAGCTGCAAGCGTGAAGGCTCAAGGTAGTCAGACAGTTGGCAGTAACCAGAGCTGAGAGGTTCCCAGTGCATAGGACAAGCTGAAGGAGGGACAGGAAAGCTGGAGACATATGCAAGAGAGTGATAAATGTGAATGAGTATGGAATTGAAAGTAGATTTAAATAAAAGCCTGAAAGGAGAAGAAAATACTTCAAGGGGTAAGTGACAAGGTGGTAGGTTCAATGGATTGGAACTTCCAACAGGTTTGAAGTGTTGTTGGATTTAAAATACTAGAGGAAGTAGTCTGAAGGACTGGAGGTGGTAAGTGCATGAATGAGATGAAAATCACAAGGACATGAGAACAGAATCATAAAACTGAGATTTAGTTTTCAGTTACTGAAACAAGAGTATGTCCATGGGAGTGAGTGGCTAAGGTATGATGCAGGATAAGGCCACTGAAACAAAAACATCCAAGGAGCCAAAAGACCAGAGAGTTGGAAGGGTCATCTGTGCGTATAATGCAATCATTCCAAGAGGAAGAATAGGGTTAGAGAGAATGGCAGTGAACAAAGAACTAAAAATCACTGAGAAGTGACAAAAGTAACTAGGGGTAGATGACAGCAACAAGTAGCCATACATGATATAATCTGACAACATGAGATGTCAAGCAGGGGATTTTTAGGAAAGACAGAAGGAGATTGACTCCTTCCTGCAGACTCAATGTGAAGACACTGCTGCCTGAAAGGACTGCAGTGGGAAGAGGGGACTCAGAGGATGGCTTGAATTTCATCAGAGCTTTAACAGAGGGTATAGTAGAGTTCAGGATTTGGGGGTGGATGGAAGATGGAGACAGAATAGGAAGTGTGTATTCTCATAGACATTTAAATAAATGTGATGATAAGGGACTTGGGGGACAAAGGGTGACTTGTAAAAATCCTAAACATAAAAAGAACTCAAACTTGTTTACATCAAACAATTATAGGTTTAATTTGGAGTGTTCACGTTACTATAATAAGGCATGAGTTGTTAATAACTTTCAAGGTAATATCTATACATATTAACAATTACCAAAATAGTATGAGTAAATGTACCATCCCTGACCTCCATTACAGACAACCATTTTACCAGTTTCTTGTGTATTCTTCTGGAGAAATTCTATGCATGTCAACCATACACATGTACACATATGCCTCCAAGAAAAAGGCTCTGGAATCAGACAGAGTTAGATATGAAGCCCAGCTTTGCCACTCATTAGCTAAATGACTGTCAAAAAAAACCTCTCTGAGGCTCCACACCCATAGCACAGTGGTTATGACACCAGCCACATGCACCAAGGCTGGCAGGTTCAAACCTGGTCCAGGCCAGCTAAACAACAATGACAACTGCAACAAAAAAATAGCTGGGTATTATAGAGGGCACCTGTAGTCCCAGCTACTTGGGAGGCTGAGGCAAGAGAATCACTTAAGCCCAAGAGTTTGGAGTTGCTATGAGTTGTGACGCCCCAACACTCTACCAACGGTGACATAGTGACACTCTGTCTCAAAAAAAAAAAAAAAACCTCTCTGAATATCAGATATTTTCCTTCTCTAAAATGGGAATAAGTATTCTTGCTCAGTGATGATGGTGGTGGCATAGCACCTGGTAAGTATTAAATGAGGCTTTATAGCACTGTTGCTAATTTTATTATTGTTGTTGTTACTCTTATCAACAATAACAAATAATAAAACCTTTATTAAACAACAATAATAAAGCCTTGTTTTACCTAAGGTTCCAAAGAAGTCATTGCCTAGGAAAGGAAATCCAGGTCTGTTGGCCAGAACAATCATCCTAAAATCAGGATGAATCACTATAGTATTTTCTCTTCCATTCACATTAGCAGAATCTGAAAAACAAAATTTCTATTTATTCTTTATTGACATTTAATAAGTCTTAAAAATATCAAGTTATAGCCTTTAAGTAACATTAGTAATCATACTGTTCAATTATAAAAAGCTTTAAGATATCTGGCTGTGATAACTTGGTTGCAGTGGAAAAAAATCTTTCCTAAGAAAGTGTGTTCGAAAACGGATTGATAAAACATCTATTAAATTGTAGAAGAATGTACACTTTTATTGTAAATTCAATGTACACCTTAGAAGTAAACTTGTCTAAATATTGCCCTACAATACTTAAACCTAGTTTGAGAAGTTGTCCTTCCTTAAAAAACATTTTTAAAAAGATGACAATCTGTAACAAGGGATAATTATTCTTTAGTTTGTAATCAAATCAATAGCTGCACCATTTGCATAAGCCTGTCATTACGCAGCTAAGGAGCCATTTCTATTTAGATTATGCACCCTACAACCTAAATATATAGAATAAAGGTCCTGAAAACCTATCAACTCATTAGTGCAGTGTTGCTTTTTTCCAATCAAGGAATTTTACTATGGTTCTTAAAATAAATGATCTCAAGTTGACTGGGGCTTTCTTTGTACAAAGGTTTAAGATATTTAAAGAACTGAATATTACATTCTACTGGCTCGTGTACATTTCAGAGAGAATTCAAGAAGTCCAGACAATAATTTGGGATAGTAAGTTTCATTATGGTTATGTTTAAGAAGCAGCACTGGCTATGTCTGGATTTAGGGTGCCCATCTTTAAAACAAGACAATTGTGAAGCACCTGCAGTTTTATTTCAGATGAGTTTGTAAGAACCTACACTCAGTTTTTTATGATACAAAAAAGTCATCTTTCAATGTGCCACATATGTATATACTAATACCAACAATGGTTTTAACCTTTGATCCTCACTAATTTCAGTAGTGGTAAATAGCAAGGTTGTGCAGCTGCAGACAAAATTTAATTAGTTAGTTAAAACAAAATGACAATAGGAAATAAAAATTGAAAAAAGGAAATTGAAACACATAGCCCTACAAGTGATGATCTATGAAACGATGCTCATAAAAGCTTCAAGTGCTCTTTTTAAAAATGTCATTCGACAATCACAGTTGAGTTTAAAAATTATGATGACTATCCCTCAAAAACATATCAGAAAGTATAGGTTACTAGGAGATAATTACTCCTTAACTACAATTTTTGTTTTGGCAATTCTTCCTTTCCATTTCACTGTCCTCATAATGACTATAAACAGGCAGACAGAATTCTACTGAGGAAAGTCTCAATGACCTTTTTTAAGAGAAAAGTATTCAGGCTCACTGAAATTCTCCTTGTCTCATAAATTCATTGTGAAACTCAAATATTAGAATATTTTTATTAGAGTTAGTTTAGGCTCAGAAATGGCAATTCTGCAATGACGACATCCAAGAACGTCTCTGTGGTGACGCACTTGTACCTTTTTAATCAGGTCTTCCTTACACCCTCTCTTCAAATACTGAAAATTTCAGTGAGGAGTCTCAATTTGTTTGGTTTCCTTGCTATTGGTGATATATTTTCAATGGCTGGTTGTGAATTTTTAAGTCTTTTTAGGACACATAAGTTAAAAACTAGCAGATGTTCTCACATTGTATTTGACAAAGTTAATTTTTCTTTGTAGGTTAAATACACTGATTAGATTCTTCCATCTTCAAAAAGGGTGGGTGGTGAAGCAGAGGGGAAGACAACAATCTAAAAACAGAGGAAAACGGCTTCCTGAGGTAGGGATGTGTGTGTAATACAGACACACACAAACACATGCACACGTGGGTACATTCACACACACACATAAGTATATACATAAGTAAAATGTCCAGCATTTTTCTAATTGTATTGAGCTAAGAATAAGTTCTCATATTTTGAATAGAAATGTGACAGAGTTGTTTAAAATTCCCAGTAAGATAACAATAAAAAAAATCATACACAGAGAATACAGAGGTGAGTATAAGGATTTTATGTGCAAATTCTTAACACTTTTTTTAATGTAGAAACTCCTCAAGTAGAAAAATCTGAATCTGATTTTAATCCTAATACTACTACTAAAATTTTCAAAGATGCTCTCCATCTCTAAAATTGACAATGCTAAATTCAGATGTATTCATTTTTATAAATGACTGTTAATATAGACAATTTAAATTATACTGAATTTATGTTTACGCTTGTAAATAAGCCGCCAGCTAAGTTTGTGATCTGATACCACGAAGAAAACATTGCTGTTTTTATACTCACTTGCAACAATGCGTCTTCCATCTGCCAGAATCATTTCTCCATTTTCAACTAGAGTTTTTAAGATACAGGTGACATTTGTTGGGGCTTTGTCTGCTTCATCTACTACTAGAACATGACCCAACTTTACTGCTTTAACCTTTTAAGACAGAAAATTTATCACAGACAATAAAATGAAAGCAACCGTCATTAAAACTTCATCACTTACTACTTCGGATTTAATAATAGCTGGTTCTATTTAAGTTTTAAGTACACTATCAAACATACAAAAAGCCTGTAGCAGAGCAGGAAACAAAATTTTTGGATTTCCACCAAAAGCTTTACATAGTTACTAAGCTGTCAACTCTACAGTAATCTGTATATTTCATTTTAGTATTAGTATTATTCTTACGCTGGAGGTACTCAGCACCATTTCATACCCCAGAGGAGGGGAATTTAAAACTAGTATTATAAAGAGAGAAATGACTGTGCCATGGGGGTGAAGAAGAATAAGACATCACAGTCAGCTGTGGATATTAGCACACTGCACTTGATGGGGCTCTTAAAAGAGTGTACAGTTTTAATAGATCAGAATAGATGGTGCTGAGGAAGTGGGTCCTCCGGACAAAGAGAATCATTGGACAAACTCAAGAATTCCTGGAGCACATTTAGGGAAGGGTAAATACTCATAGTCGATGTTGGCTGAAACAGAGGTTAAATGTGAGAAAAGGGACTGGAAGAATAGATTGGAGTCTTCCTACTAAGGACTTGATTGCCAGCCTAAGAAATATGCACTTTGCCTCATTAAGTAGTGGGCTGCAATTTAATATGTGTGAGTTCAGACATGACAGAAATGGAGCTTGGATCCTGTACTTTAGGATATTTCATGTGGCAGCTACCTGCAGAGTAGAATAAAAGGAGATTACTGTAATAATTGGCTAAAAAGTGGTTTGGGAATCTGATCACGGGGGAGACCTAAATAGAAATAAAAAGCATTAGATCGCTCTGAAGGTTTTATAAAGGTAGAATCTATGGTTGTGGCAACTGCTTAGACGGAAAGAGGAGAAAGGGAAAGTAAGAGTCTCAGGTGTTTAGTGACTGGGTAGAGGGTGACATCATGGAAAGAAAGATGAAAAAAAGATACACACTAAATTTAAATGTAAACCTAAAGGCTCTTTCTTTATAATAAGAAATATCTCCTAACATAAAATGGACCATAGGTGTACTCTGGCTAATCACTTTAAGAAAATAACAGATTGAGACATGCCTGCTCCTTCTACCACAATTACCTTATCCTATATTTTAGGATATATCCTAAACTAAATTTTGAAAGAGAAAACATGCAGCTTCCTTCCCCACCCCATCTTTGTTCAGGGTAAGTCAGGCGTGACCTGGGAGATTTCAGGTAGGAGATGCTCACGATTCCATCTCAGGGTATACAGATCACAGAAGTTCCAGGATGGCTTATCTGTGCCATTGCTGCAAAGGAGTTATCTGCACAGAGGGATGTGCCTGGCAGGCTGGGATGTCTTTGGGTTTTATGTGGGAAGCTGAGGTCTAGACCTTCCCAGCTGCCCAAAATACCAGACTAATATTTTATCAGTTAGAAACATTTAAAAAACCTTTTCTAGAAACATTACCTTATTTCAAACTCTACACATCTGAAAACAACAGCAAACTTTTTTTTAAAAATTCTGGAATAAAAGGAAATCAATAGAGGATTTCTGTCATTCCTTAAACCTTTCACTTTGAAGACAGAATGGAATAAAACATGTCATTTCCCCCAAAATTTGCATTTAAATATCCATTCCTAAAATGACACATGAATAATGGCTTTCCAGGTAGACTGAAATACATCAGAATCCATGACAGACACCCCCTCGATTCCCAAAGGCTGAAATACAACTATCATTCAAACACCGCACTTGAAGACGTTCACATAATTGGATTACTAACCAAAGGTGAGTCTTCATACACAATAAGTCCATCTTTAACTGAAGGCTGAAGAGTAAGAGTTTGTACTGTGGTGTCCCTAAAATTAAAATGACACATTTTATAGTTAATAAGAAAACAAACTGATGTTTGATTATGAATAAAAATACAACATGCGGATTTTAAAAAGATTTTTATTCATCATACTGCTTTTCCCCCCAAAAGTAAAAATAGTAAGTGAAATTTCTATTAGCAATAGTATTTTGTAGATTTAATAAAGTACAAATTGAAAGGGTTTGGAAACCAATCCAAGTTTATAGATTACACAGGTTCTTTACTTCTGTCTTTTTTTCTGGTACTCTCTTCTTATAACCATTTCATACCTCAAAATCACCTCCTAGGGGTGAAAAGGAGAAGTTAAAAATACAAATTTATAGGCTCCGCGTCCATGGCTCAGTGGTTAGGGCGCCAGTCACATACACTGGAGCTGGCGGGTTCAAACCCGGCCCGGGCTTGCTAAACAACAATGACAATTACAACAAAAAAGTAGCCAGGCATTGTGGGGGGTGACTGTAGTCCCAGCTACTTGGGAGGCTGTGGCCAGACAATTGCCTAAGCCCAAGAGTTTGTGGTTGCTGTGAGCTGTGAGACCACAGCACTCTACCCAGGGTGACATAGTGAAACTCTGTCTCAAAAACAAACAAAAAAACCACACAAATTTATAGATAACATTTATGTTATTTTAAAATGATTTTAATGGCAATTTTGGTAATGACTGACATGCTGACATGACCAATTAGAGCATGTCTATGAATTTCATGGTCAGGCCCAATCTGCCTTCATTAGGTCCAAAACCAGACTACCTTAGCCCACTCCAAGAACACAGAGGAGTTACTTATGAGATTTTGAACAGTTCTGCTGGGATTAGAGCAATCCATTTTACTTTCTTAAACCTCCCTTCTATTATTTACTTGACTCTTCTTTAGATCAAGATCTTCAAAACTACTTTTTAAAGTTTTTTTTTTTGGAGACAGAGGCTCACTCTTGCCTCTGAGTAGAGTGTCATGGTGTGATAGCTCACAGCAACTTCAAACTCTTTGACCCAAAAGACTTGCCTCAGACTCCCAAGTAGCTTGAACTACAGGCAACTGCCACAATGCTGAGCTAGTTTTTCTATTTTTAGTAGAGACAGGGTCTCGTCTTGCTTAGGCTGGTCTTGAACTCCTGAGCTCAAGGGATCCTTGATGCCTCAGCCTCCTCAGGGTGCTAGGATTACAGGTGTGAGCCACTGTGCCCAGCAAGATCTTCAAAACTATTAATAGTAAGCTATCCTGGTGATATGAGCTTCCTTATTGAGATATGAAATTCACATCAACTGTGGATATTCATGTGTGTACAGAAGCTACAGATGACAGGTAGGTCAGACATTTTTAAAGGATACATTTATATTTTCTCTTCTGCATATACTCTATCTTAAAACTGAAAAATTTTTATGGCCAGCTTAACCATGTCACACAGAGAATTAGAACTACTTTTAAAGTGTGAGTTATCACCTTTAGAAGAGTTCAAGCTGTCTTTTCAAACTATGCTATCTCTTATTCAAAGTAAAAGGTAAAGCTGCCAAGTGTTGTTTTGAGTATCTACTATGTGTGAGACTCTACTTGGATAGTGACCTTCAGACCTTGGTGCTATAATATACTGGTGAAACATATACCCAAATGATACATTTTACTATAATTAAAACTATAAAATGTCTTATTTTATTTTATTTATTTATTTAGAGACAGAGCCTCAAGCTATCCCCCTGGGTAGAGTGCCGTGGCATCACAGCTCCCAGCAACCTCCAACTCCTGGGCTCAAGTGAGTCTTCTTCCTCAGCCTCCCAAGTAGCTGGGATCACAAGCGCCCACCACAGCGCCCAGCTATTTTTTGGTTGCAGCCATCATTGTTGTTTTGGTGGGGCGGGCTGGATTTGAACCTGCCACCTTAGGTGTATGTGGCTGGCCACTTGAGCCACAGGCGCTGAGCCATGTCTTTTTTTTTTTTTTTAAAGTAATAAATATCACACAATAATCAAAGCCAAAGCAAATGTAAGATATTTACTCAAATCTTTTTTTGTTTGTTTTAGCAAAACAAATATAGGATAGACATAAAATTCATGTGCAAAAAATCAGTTAATGCTCTGAGAGGCAGTTGTGGGGTAGTGGAAAGAGGACTTTGGAGTCAGATCAATCAAGACTCAAATTCTAATTCTTGCCACTTGTTAGCCATAGGATTTTGAGTAAATGATAAAGTCAACCCAAGAGGATCATTGATAGAACTCTCAGAAAGTATCTAGCACGGTATCTGGCAGGTAGAAGGAGTATAATTTGTTGTTATTGTTATAGCTATTGTGACTGACGGTTTCTTGCTGGTCTCACTTTACTTATCTTCAGGTGTTAGCACAGATGGTACTTCCTGGATATCCCTTCCTTGATCTTTTGCAGACCAGGTTAGGAGGCCCTGTTTTGTGTCCCCTTTGAGACCTAGCTATCCCTTATGCCAGCCCTAACCAGACTATATTAAAATTACACATTTTGATATTGACCTTTCTATACACCTTGTCAGATCTAAGAGTGTAGAACATGTTTACCTTGTCCCTCACTATGTTCCCAGCATCTAATGGCTGTCTGGCTCACAGGAGGAATTTAATAAATATTTGTTGTATGAATGAAATAAACAAAAAATAATAAAGGTTAAAAACATCAACATTGTAGCTAATGGAGCATTATATATAATGTTATATGGACTTCCAAATTTATTGGGCCATGAAACTCTTTCTTTTTTTAAACAGAGAATTTGGAGCCCACTCTAGTAAATGTTGGGTTTTAGTAAATTAAGGCTGGCTTTCTTAGAAGTAAAATAGTCCTTATTCCTATATAAGCCAGTATTATAAAGTATAGTCATATAAAAAGGTATACTTGGGGTTGAAAATATTGAGAAACTGATTGTTTATGTCCATCATCGACTCCAAATGACTTGTATTTAGACTCGAGATTGCAGTGGGTAACATTAGAGTCCTCATTTGCCAGGTCTTGAACAGCTATGGGGGGGTAAATCTAGACATTTATAATTTCTAGATTAGCTATCTTATTTGTAGCCTTAAAGGCTTCTTTCTTTTACTTGATCAAGTGGTTCTTGGTCTCTTCAGTTAATTCTTGGGAGTTCTGGCCTCTTGCCATTCCTGACCCCTATCTAAGCTCCCCCATGATCCTGGCTCTAGGAGAGCCTGGTAGACAAACTCATAATTTACTCTTCCTATAGCCGTAGCACTGTACTTGACAAATAATCTAATATTATTTGTTCATCTTCACTAAAAGTCAAATTAAATTGTGTCTAAAAATAAAACCCTGGGGGACGATAAGGAAAGTGAAAATACATTGTGACAGTTTGTTGGTGTTTATTAACTTTTAGTATATTTCTTGTGCAATATAATGGTAGTCACATGCATATTTTTGTGCTTATGGATCTTATAAATTTACCATAGGGCATTGTTATTCTTTGCTAACAAGTTAATTTTTAAAGTTTTAAAGAAATCAAGTACAAAGTTTAATTAATCTGACTTATATTCACTGTTCAGATTCTAGCTATAGAGAAGCGGGTGGGTGAGGATGGGAAAGAAATGAGCTCACATAGATTTTTATAGCAATATAATGAATTTCTCACCTCAGCTCTCACATATTTAATGGGCAACAACATGCCACCTTCCAGCACCAAAAAGGAAAAAGGAACTCTTGCATCATTGTCAGTAAAGGAAATCCAGTTGTTACCTTAGTAATTATCGTGCTTTATAATAGATTAAGAACACTAAATTCGAAATGAATTCTATTTCTACAAAGAAAATGAAATTGTTTTCAGCACCAAGAAAAAAGGAACTCGTGCATCATTGTCAGTAAAGGAAATCTAGTTGTTACCTTAGTAATTATTGTGCTTTATAACAGATTAAGCACAGTAAATTCAAGATGAATTCTATTTTTACTAAGAAAATGAAAGTGCTTTATAACATTTGAATTCTGATGGTATGCAATTTGTCAAGTCAGATTTATAAAAAGACTTTTTGTTCCAGAAAAAAAAAAACAACCCATAGGTCTGTGGGAATAAGCACAAATCAGATAATTTCCAAAAAAGACTAAAAGGAGTATAAATACAAATTAGAAATGTAGCTTTCACTGGAGAAGTTAGCGAGAAAGAGAAATTTCTATGATAAAAGTGGTTTTGTTCTGTTATTCTTATCGATCCTTTCGTCTAGTGTCAAAGAAAGCTAATAGAACATGTAAAATAATACTGCCTTTAAAAAAAATGGCTAGCTTACATCTTGGTAAGTTACCCTGATTATGTAAAGGTAGAAAACAATCCACTATCCTCCCCCATTGTACTTAATATACTAAGAAAAAAAGCTGGATCTCCAAGATATCCGATAAATATTATAAATTTCAACTTAGTAAGAGATAAGGTGACTGCTTTTGTTGTTGTAGGTAGAATGTAAAATTACTCAAAGACAATATAATGTTTCTTTTTCAGAAAGTATTTGATTAAAATCATTACTTTGCATTTATGGGGCATCTGGGATCAAAAGATATTAATCATCCACACAAATAAGCAATGACCCTTAGAGAATATTTTATTTGCTACAATTTCAATTCTACTATGATTTTTTCCTTTCAAAAACAGCTTTGAAATATAAGCTAATAAAAGTTTAGCATGAACACTTTCAACAATACTAGGAAGAAAAAAAGTTAAAACACATCTTAGATACATTTTCTTAGCCTTATTAAATCTTAGGATCTAATAAAGAGATGATTTTCAAGTATGTAACATTTACTAGTAATGCTTGATAAATTAATTACAATGTTCAGCTAATTGTTGACATTTATGTTATCATAAATTGTTCTTACTTTTCACTATATTATAATCTACAGCTATCCATGAAAGCCTGTATAAACAAAGGAGATATTCAAAGAAATACTGAGTTAATGGGGCGGCACCTGTGGCTCAAAGGAGTAGGGCACTGGCCCCATATGCCAGAGGTGGTGGGTTCAAACCCAGTCCTAGCCAAAAACT